TCAGACACACCCATTGGCCTAATATTTCTTATTAGCCAGCTCCAAGTACCTTTCTACTCTGGAGCACTCTTTAGAATCAGCTAACTTTCTAAACTTATTTTACAGGGATTCTAGTTGATTATTCCTTAAAGAGCTAGACAAGGGAAACCTCCAAGTTCTAGGTGTTAGGGCACCTAAATACAAGTGCCTACAAGAATTATTTTTGTCTGGCCCAAAGATCCATATTTTAAGCATGTGCCCATGTCAGTTTTACAGAGAAGAGGACCATAGTAAATAAGGTTTGAAAGGGACCTTTTAGGGCCATTTAGTTCAAAGCCCTGCTCAAGACAGGACCATCCCTGACTACACCATTCTAGCCAAGTTCCATCTAACCTGCTTTTGAAAGTTTCCAAGGATGGAGTTTCCAAAACTTACCTAAGTAGACTGTCCCAATGCCTGACCACCCTCATAAACAAAATTCCTGTTAATCTCCAGCCTAAATTTCCCCCTTGAGTTTGGCATAAAACACAAAACCAAACTGCCCGTAGTACCAGACCCAGCGGAACTAAACTTGCAAAACACTCAATGTTCCAAATAGGACTGATCATGTACCCTTCTCCCTAAAGACCTGTTTAAGTATATAGGGACATGTTACAAGTTTTTTCTAGTATTTATATTTGTAGCACCAAAGACATGCCTATTTATAGGAAGGAAGATAAGTGTTTCTCTTTTCTCAGTTTCTGAAACTGGCTTAAGATAAACCTGTTTGGATGTAGCATCAGACTGAACTGATTTAGGTAAAACCAGTTTATGGAACTTCTGTCTTAGACCCCTTCCCAGTTCAAGTAAACTCATTCCCCCAGCATCCCAGGATGCTTTGCAGCTCTGGGCTATGCTGTCTGCTCCAGCAGAGCAGCGTTGGCCCTGCCCTTCTTCTCCTGAGCCACAACACTATCACTGCTCTAGCGGACTGAAAATAGGGTAAGGGGGAAACCTGGCTCCAGCTGAGGCCTGCCCAGTTGGGACAAAGCAGCAGGGGACTGTGGCCAGATGCCCACCCAGGTTGGCATACTGATAAACCTCTTCCCCCTCCCACACTGAACCTCAGCTAAGGTCCACTCAAGTGGACAGTGGGGTCATGGCCAGATGCTGGGCCAGGCTGGCATGCTGAGTGGGGGGAGGGAGGGTTTAACTCCCCTCCCCTGCCTGCATGGGACCCCAGCTGGGGCGTGCCTGGTGGGGGTGGAGCAGCCCCTGCCAGACTTTTCTCCACTCCTGCCAGGCAGACCCCAGTGGGTCCTCAGTGGGTGGGGGAGGGGCTTTAAACCCCGATGCCCCCGGCCATGTCCCTTACCCCCCTCCCCCCCATTGAGTGGGGAGCAGGGCAGAAGCCTGGCAGGGGTTGAGTCTCTCTCCCCTCCCCCTGCCCCAGGCACACCCTGGCTGGGGTCAGTACAGGCTGGGGGGAGTTTAACCCCCTGCTTCGGTCACGTACTCAGTGCGCTCGCTGGGGCCTGGCCATGCCCGCCCCTCAACTCATGCAAGAAGCGGGGAAAAGCCTTGGAGAGCTTCTCTCCTAGCTTCCCTCCCTTCCCTTCGGCAGTGGCTGGAAGGCTGGAAGGTGTGCTCTACCCCCCCCCCCAGCTTTTGGCCTGACCCACTGCCAGTGTGTGGCTGCATTTCTAGAATCAAAAGTTAATGTCTGTCCACTTGCTTCTTGGTCCAATCTAGGCAGTTTAAGATAACCTGCAAAGATTGAACTGATTCAGCCTCAAGCTTTTTGATTGTCTGTATTTAGACTTTAAGTTTAGGGAACTCTATTTGAGAGCCTTTGTGGACTCCAGCTGTAGTAGGATATCATTAGGGGAAAGGCAGGGCAGGAGGGCAGCTTTTTGCTAAGTAGTAAGGTTTCCATAACATGAACCTAAGTCTATCAAAAAAAAAAACCATTTTAAATGTAAAGGAAGAAAAACTATTTGTTTTGTGGTCTTTAAATTAATTGGGAAGGCATGGTATTATGGTATTAACTCTGAGGTTGTGGCAAAAGGAAATGTGAGGTCTTAACAGTTTCACTGGGAGCAATTTTTTTGTTGTAAGCTACTTTTCATTGTTAGCACTTGCTTGTTGTGGTAGACTAGGTACCAGGACTCAGTTCAAATGAAAGTCCATGTCACCTTTTAACTTTTGTTGCTACCACAGTGTTAATCCATGTTGTCTTTTTTTTCTGTCAGCCATATTTCCATGGCATTAGGATTAGCAGAAAAGCTCCTATAGGTAAAGCACCAGTTCAGCAATAATTAAGATCTTTCCATGATAAGTTCCTGGTCTAACTTCCAACTTTCTAAATCTTTAACCTGCTTTGTGGAAGTTTACCAAGTTTCTCTGCTGTAAATGGAGAGAATGTATTTGTGTGTTTGCACACGAACTGCCATCGTGACTTATTTGATTCAGAGAATCTGTCCAAAATGCATTTATATTAGGGGCAGAGGTGGGGGAGTGGGAGCCCTGCACATCTTAATATTTTATATAAGGAATAGTTGCTACTTACATTAAATCTGAGTAATGAGCTACAGTACCAGATACATCCAGTAGATGCCTGCAAACACCATAATATAATCATATGTGAATGTCTGTAGAAGGGGCAGCAATAATAGAAATTTGTTTTGTCAAGTGAATAGGTATAGAATTTAATGCAACAAATAAAACATTACTAAGTTAATTTATTTTCAAACATAAAGGTTTAATGACAATATATACTATTCACATGTCATTCACTACACTGTGCCAATGTACTAAGATTAAAAAAGAGTAGTTTTTCACATGCATATTCATTTGAAGTATATTGCTATTTTTGATAAATTGTCTAAGCTAAGTAGCTTTCATGCACATAGTACAAATATGCCTTCAACTAAAGCATCAGCAAAGTACCATGTTTTATATGTAAGTAGTAATATATTGAACTTGATATATGTTCAATAGCTGCTCAGTGGCTAACCATAACATGGTATATTAAGGCCTTGTGTAGATAGGTTTTAAAAATAAGTATATATTTTTCCACTTAAAGCATTCATTATTGTAACTAGAAAATGTATATGAGAAACTTAGACTTGAGGTCTGTTCAGATGCTATTTTTGTTGCTGCTGTTCCCTTCAGGGGAGAGTAAATCCTAGATGTGCATTTGAGATCTCTTAATCAGAAGATAAATTGACCCAGGCAAAGTAAGGTAGGAAATTCTGTCTCTGAAGCCAAAGAGTGTTAAAAAATGCTTATTATACACTCTACCAATTTCTGGTTTTTCTAATGGAAAGCACTGAAATTTGACTAACCACAATTAATAGTTGCCTTGCTAATACAGTGAGGGGGTGACCTGAACCATTTTTCTTTAAAAAAAGAAAGTAATTCATTAAAAAGATTGAGGGAGGCACATTGTGGCCTACTTGAGTTTGCCTGGATGCTTCTCCTGTTACCATTTTTCACTGACTTGTAGGGGATCTTGTCACTCCTACCTCAGTCTCATTCCTTTTCAGAACTAAAGGTAAAATCCAGTGCACTTCTGTTGCCGCCTTCTTACTAACCGACATCCTGGAAAATACCATCTGATATTATGATCTCTGGGGGAAAAAGCCAATTTGGCTACACAAATAATTTATCTGTATGCTATGTCTACTAAAGTCATATAAGATATCCAAGGTTTAGGTAACATTTGGGTAAACTACTTTTTGTTGTGAATCCGAGGGGTGTAATGGAATTTTGAAATACAGGGTTTTTGTAAAACTGTATTTTGTAAAATGAGAATTGATTTACATATGGATAAAGCACTTGGGTTTTTATACCTTTCAGAAAGGAGCAGCTACAAAAGGTTGCAACTGATATTTTATGGTAAATGCTAATAGCCCAGAAGTTTTTGATGCAACGTTAATGTATTGAATGAGTAATAGCACAATACGAAATAAGTGTGAACTTTACAAACATCCTGGCAAACATTTCTAGCTAGAATAATTTAAAGTTCTTAAAGGTGGTATTAATTATTTCTGTTGGTTATATATAGGATGTGTATTCGAAGGGGATAATCCTACTTTCAGCTATAGCTTCAGTCAGAGTCCATGGGGAAAATAAATTTGCAGTTGTCACAGCTAATAGGACATTTGTTTTCCGTGTGGAAAAGGAAGGTAAGTGGAGCACATGGTATTAATGGCAATTGTTACATCATCTTATCACTGTCTATATGTAAAATGACTTCCTAATAAGTGCTTGTCACAGTTCTTAAGTCATCTTGGGTTCATCAATGGGATGCAAGATAGATCCAAGTGTTACAATAAAGCTTTATTCCATATATCTTATGTGAGTAGTTTTGCCAATCACAGGAAAGGCGAGAGTTGAGTCTTGTGATTTGCAAAGTAAATTAGCAACAAAGTTTCTGAACTCCCTGGCAGACGAGATTCTTTAGGTAAATGTGATATATTAGCGAATTGCCCATCAAGAATGATGGGGGTGGAGGGTGGGTGTGGATAGAGTACTGCCACCTACCACGCCACACCGCCACTGCCTCCCAGGAGCAGAGTGGGAAAGCTTGCCCCGGTGTTCCCTCCATCCCCTTCCACCAGCACCCCAGGCCGTTGCCCGCTGCCTCTAGTGCC